ATCGTTCCATATGCATTTTAGGATTGTTTCTTTTAGTTCTGAAACTACTCCAAGCCAATAACAAGAAAATGTTAATTAAATGTATTTGGAGAGAAAAAAACTGGTGTCCGTTTGATCCAAATTTGGGATCCAACAGTACTCTTGAATTTTCTCCTCTTTTAGGTTGCTTCCTTTAATGCATGTAAAAGTTCCATTGCTTCCCAACTAAAGAATGTATGATGGTAAAAGAGAGAAAATAGGCAAAACAGATAAGTTGTAACTTCATAGATTACCTGAAGACTGGGATAAAAAATGAAATCAGTGGAGTTCAAAACATAATGGAAAGTTTTAAGACCATGCATGAATTTCATTCATGATACTTCCACAGAGCTACGAATAGTCAAAAATCTACACTGAAAGCTAAGGATATAGAGAAAAGACATATTAATTACCGAAATGGATGACACACCATTCATTTTAGAAATTTTTCACAAGAGCAGTCTGTATGAATACTAGATGGAAATAGCTAAGCCAATTTGTAAGAATCCCTTGGTAAGAAGCATACGATGAAGACCAAGAAGCCATACAGATGAAATGCACACGATTCCTTCCTTAATCAGGGAAAAGCAACTCACTGTCCCTTTGTCAGTGCAAAGAGTATTCCATTCATTCCATAGTTTTTAGGAGGTTTAAACAAAATAAGGCAGGTACTTAGCACTAGGTAAGCCCTAATTCATCGAATGCACTCTAGTAAGTGAGTTATACCAGCTCATTATGTAGTTAAACAAATGAGTCATTTGTTTGTACTTTTCCAACCAGCTGTTTTGATCTAATAATGAGAAGACATGGAGAAATACTGTGTGCATTATTATAATACATTAAAGAAATGAAAAACTGAAGTCTCAAGGTTTCTTTGCTACAAAGGATATCACTGCGGGGCATGAAGGTGCACACCTGTAATCTAGGCACTCTGGAAGGCTGAGGTAGGAAGATTGTAAATTTCAGCCCACTCTGGGCAATTTAGTGAATAAAAAGGTGGGGGAAATGGATACATGTCTATGTGAGGGGCCTTGGTTCAATCCCCAGCCCTGAAAAAATTTGCAATAAATTATTTCCAGAGATAAGCTGGATTGAATAAATGTCTTAAATTCCAGCACTGAGCTGCCTACTGGCATTGTGAAACACATTTCTCCTCCTGGAGTTTTCAAAGTCATCAATAGGCAAACTTTTAACATTTTTCCTAAAACTGGAGGTTCTTGTGTTCTTAGCGTCTTATCACTCTTTAGAAATATGTGAAATTACACAGGATTTATGAGTATGTGTGTGTGTATGTATGTGTATACCTCCCTGTCTACAGCCATCTGATCTACCTAATTTATTACTCCCCAAGGGAGGAAAAAAATACATAGCCTTTTGGATACCCAAAGTTTTATGACCTTTTTGCTTTAAAAACTTTAAGGTGTGAAAAGGAAAAATAAAATCACTCCTGTGAGAGGGGCAGGCCCAGGTGCCATTCTCTGTGAACAGAAGTACAACCTGGAAAACAAATAAGAACTTTCTGGCACATTTCACCTCTTGAGGTTTTATGGGCCAGTTTGTAGCTGCAAAGCAGCTCTTCAATGCTTTAGTAGCAGCCAGTTTAGGAGAAGCAATTTCAGTAGTCCTGAATATAAAGATTGATTTAAAATGCTGATTGATGTGTGTTGAGAACTGTATTTCCAAATGCAATAAGATTGTGCAAGTGCTGTCTAATTTGATTTGAGTTTGTAGTTTGACACAATTCCTGCTCTTGCACAAGAATTAAATATTTGCATTGGTTTTGAGAAATAGATTTAAAATGGAAAAGAAATTATCTTTCTTCTCATGTTTAAGGTTCTTAGGAATAATTGCTCTCAGTTTCTTTATAACATAACTATAGATAGATAGCTTGATTGATTTATATTTTAAAACTTTCTTCTTAGTAAATATGCAGAAATCACAGTGTATTAAGTTTACTGCTCCAAAATTTTCACAGTGAAAAGTTCATGAAATTGGAACCCTTACCAATTACAATTGATCAACCCCTTACCAAAATACAGAATATCAGTGACACACTTGATAACATGATTTAGTCTCGACACCCTCCTCTCTTAACTTCTACTGTCCTGATGTCTAACGCTACAGATTGTGCTATCTTTGACCTTTATGGAAATGAAGTTATGCATTGCATCTATTCGCACTTGAAGTTCTTTTGCTCAGCGCTCTTCTTGCAATGTCTCTGTTTTATGTGAAATATTAGTCTTTCATTTCTGTATGGTGTTCTACTTTATGATCACAGTTTTTGGATCGGTTCAGATGTTCATGGAAATAGACTTTCCAGTGTGAGAATAACACGAATACTGCCATGAATATTCTTTGACATGTCATTTGTCAAACATAGGAACATATATGTTGGTTAATGTCTAACTAACGTGGGGGGAAGGTCACAAGGAATCTATTTGGTCAGTTTTAATAGACACTGCCAAATATGTTCCCAACGTGTTCATGTCAGTTTCCATTCCGATATACCAGCAATACCTGGCATTTGTTTTCTCATACCCTTAACGATACTTAATATGAACTTGTTCATTTTAGCCATTCTGAGTATTAGGTAGTTGTATACTTTGTGGTTTCATTTTGTATTTATCTGGTGGCTAATGATATCCATCTACTTTTCATGTTTTCTGACTACTTGGATATGCTCTTTGGTGAAGTGCAAATTCAAGGGTTTTTTTTTTTTGGTTTTTTTTGGCAAAAATTTCACCTGGGTTATTTGGCTTTTGATTGTAGGAATTATTTATGTATTCTTGATATGAATCTTTTCTTAAGTCTTATCTTTAGTAAATTGTATCTTCTATTTTTTGGCTTATCTTTTTACTTAGTGATGTTTTTTATTAAAAATTAATTTTAATGTTCCCAATACATTATATATTTTCCTTTATAATTAACATTTTACCTCCAGTTTATGAAATCTTTGCTTATCACAAAGATATAAAGACACTTTCCTGTCTCCGTTTGAAATTTGTCTCCCACTTTTGGGCCTGCTGCTATATTGAGCTGATATCTGCCTGTAGTATAAAGAGGCAATCGATATTTATTTGATCCATGTGAATGTTAAAATAACCCAGCACAATTTTACAAAATAATCTTTTCCTACGTGCTGCAACTATCTTACCTTTGACATAAATCAGGTTACAGGTTAAAAGATATGTATGAGTTCTGCTGCTTGCACTGTATTCAATGTCTTTGATCTATGCCTTTGATCTATCTGTCTGTCCATTTTTATGCCAATGTCAAACTGTCTTGGTTATAATACACTTTTATAATACGCTTTATATCTGCTAGTAGCTACCTTCTACAAAACTGCTTTGGTTATTAATGGGCTTTTGCATTATAAATAATAGAATATCTGATCAATTTCTGAAAAAATTATCATTTTTTAAAATCAGGTTTACATTAATCCATTGGCATGCTAGGTATTGCATTTCATGAATCCATTTAACTATTTCTATGACAATTTTCAGTTTAGACTATTGTATAACTTCCACCATTGTAAATCTATGTATATAAGACATTTTGGTATATAATTTGCTATTCTTTTTTTACTATGTTGGGTTTTGGAATGAGCACTGTATTGGCCTCACAATATGTACAGGGAAATATTCTCATTTTTGTTAGTTTCTAGGAGAATTTGCATAAAACTATTTTTCCCTTTAAGAGTTGAAGGCATTCCAATGATTCTGATTGTTATTATTGGGTAGTTAGACAGTAGTTAAAGCAGTTAGAAAGTAGCTAGAATTTGATAAATGCTATAAAATATTAACGTTTTTTATGTCCTGGAATGTCCATTATGGCCAAACAAATCATTACATTAACATGCCAAGAATGAAGAGCAGGCTTCATGCAGAGAGGTAACATGCTTTGAGCAATTTCTTTAAGTCACCTTTGGAATTTCAGCTTTTATTCAATTATCAATTGACTTCTTAACATATTTTTAGAAGATAATTTATTTTATTCAGTTGCCATAAGATTACTACTAAAGAAAGTGAGCTTGGACAGTGCATGGTTTTACATAATGAATGTGGTTAACATTATCTCAAAACCATGAGGCATTCTTTGAAGATCACACGTGACTTGTTACAAACTAGAGTCTTCCCATGTACCTTCTTTCAATTCTAACCACTGTCTTCTCTCTCCCTCTTCACGGGAGGACTTTTCAAGAGTTACCTCCATTTTTCTACATTCAGCAAAACCTCAACATTCCTATCACTACTGAAATGATTTGTTGCCAGAGTCCCCAAAACCATGTCATTAAGTAAAGGTTTATCAGTCACACTATCTTCAACTTATGTGCTCTCACTTGAATTCAGTATATTGAGCACACCCATTTTCTTGAAACATGGTTCATCATTGGATTCCTGCTTTTTTGTTTGCTTCTTCCCATTTACAATTTACTTGTTGTTGTTCTTACCCAGCTCATCTTTACCCATGATTACTAATTCAAAATTTAACTTTTTGAAGTGTGTGTCTTCACTTTTCAATGTTGTCATGTAGATGTCTCTCCGCCAATACAGTGGTTTTTTTTTTTTTTGTATGCTGTATTCATATGTTGGTTCCTCTAATATTCCCATTTAGAGACCTCTTGAGTGCCTCAAACTTTTTAAAAATTGACAATTTTTTAAAAGTATTCCACCAGTTCATCCCAGGGCAGCTTCTAAGAGGTGAAAAGCAGGAATGCCGTCTTTCTAGACTTGGAGCTACTTTTGTTTCTGTACCATAATTTATTAGACATACTAATTTCTAATCTCCCCCACTGCAGCTAGAATGAACTTTTTCCTGAAACCTAAATGTATATTTGTATTGCCATTGGTTGAAAATTATCTGTTTAGCTTTGGCCCATACCAAAGTGAGGCAGGCTATTATACTCAGGATATCATTAATGTTTTTTAGTTTTTTTTTTGGTGACAGGGATCAAACTCGGGTCTTTGCACTTGAGAGGCAGGTGGTGGCACCATCAGTGTTTAATATATTTAAGTGATAAGTTAAGAGGTAACAAAACAATCAAAAATTTGTCTTACCACTTACATAAATGTCTTTTCCTTTGACTCTTAGGAAAGAACTTCTTCAACTATAAGGCATTGCTTAGTTTAAAATTTGTGGATTGTCATAGTCTGAGTTTATAAATAATATCACAAAAAATCAGCTTTCTACTTAATACAAGAAATTACTTTCCAGGTCAGACCACACTAATGTATTTGGCTCAGCTTTCTTCTTAATAGCACAGAAAAGGCACAGAAAGAAAAATTCCCATGGATTCTGTTGGACAAGTGATTCCTGAGTATCTTGATAGCTAGGGTAAGAAGTCCCATAGGGAAGAAGGAGATTGGAAGACTCTGCTAACTGTGAGTTGCAGAAGAATATAGCAAATCCCAGAAAGACTTTTCTGTGGGTTAATGTATTGTACAAAAGTAATTTGTTAGAAACTTAATGCTTGAAGTAATAAATGAATGATATTTGGGAGTGGAACTTTAAATAGTAATTAGGATTACATGAGGTTATGATGGTATACCTCATGAGGGCAATAATGATTTCATGAGGAAAAGGTAGAAGGGGGAGAGGAGGAGGACAAAAGGAATAGGAGGAAGAGGAAGAAGTAGAGGAGAAGGAAGAGGAGAGATCTGGGTTGGCATGCTTGCTCAGTCTGATGGGAGAGCCTCTGCAATTTTAAGCTGCAGCAAGAAGGCCTTCTCCAGAGCACAAGTCAACACTGGGCTCTTGGACTTCCATAACCACGAGATAAGTAATAAAGTTCTTTATTAGTAGTCAATGACAGCTATGGAAACTAGATCAAGACAGATATATATGATGTAAGCATATCAAAGAGAAGATGGAATCTTCTAGAAGTTTGGAGGGACAGTAGAATCTATTTGGGTAGAAACTTAGGGAAAACACATTCCAAGTGACAAGGATGATGTGGATTAATCTGGCAAGATGTAATTAGCACTACTGCCATGACTGGTAAGAGATTATAAAGGCTCGCCTTGGGAGTGGTCATCTGGATTGAAGTAGATAAGGGAAGAAACACAGCAACAGTGGGTCTGCTAGATTCTGTGGTTGAGAGATGAGGATGGAAACCACAATGAATAAAAACAGGATGCTCAGGAAGCTGACACCCATGCTGATGAAGGAAATAGGAAGTTTGATGAGCATAACATGAGAGTACAGGTCCTGCCAACACAGAAGTGGCTCACAGCCTCTCAACTGAGGTGGTGTAGATACCTCAAAGACATGTTGACATGGCTAGAAATGGGGATATGAAGTTTGAGATGAGAACAAAAAAAATTATAACATTCTTGATTATTTTTAATTGTCATACTATAAATTTAACCCAAAAATTTCATCTAAAGCATGCTAGAACCTTTCAAAAGTTTATAATAATGCTAATCCTCTCCTTGCCCCCACATATCTGTACTTTTACTTTTTCTGGGTTTCAATTAGCCTCAGTGAGTCAGGATTTGAAATTATTACATGGAAAATGCTAGGAAGAAAAAAAATTCACAGGTTTTAAGTTTTACACTGTTCTGAATATGATGAGGAAATCTTGTGCTGTTGAATCCCATGTTGCACAGGCTATGAATCTTCCCAGTGTCCAGCGTTTCCAAGCTGTATATGTGGCCCAGCTGTAAGTCCTGTAGAAGCCATCTATTACCACATTATGTGTCACAGTACCATAGCGATTGTCTATAAGTAAGCCTTTTCTTAATCCTGATGCCAAAGCCAAAGTTCAGTGATGGTGGAAATTTAAATATGCCAAAGAGAAGTCAAAGTGCTATCTTTAATTGAAAATGTAAATGTCCCCAATAAGAAAAAACATCTTATGCTGAGATAGCTTAAGTTTTGGTTAAGAATGGCTCTTTCATACATGAAATTGTGGAATGAAGGAAAAATACATCCATGTGAGTCTTGCCGTTGCACCTTAAAATGCAAAAGTTAGTGCCACAATACTTGACAAATGCTGAGTTTCGATAGAAACAGCTTTAAATTACAAGATTTAGTGCTATCCAAGATTTCAGGTATCCACTGGGGTCTTTAGTATCTCCTGAGGATGGAGGTGAATTTTGTACTTGCACAATAGTAACATTTCACTTAAAACTTAACATTAATTTTTAACATGCAGTGTTTATTTAATCAGTTAATTTTAATCAGTTTAATCAGTTTTCCATATACAGTTTATTAAAGGCCCAACTGGCCTTGCTCTAGCATCCCAGCTGGTGTTTGTGTCCTGAACTCAGTGCTGTGAACTCCAGTCGGGCTACAGAGGAAAGAAGTCTAATGATGTCTTCTGTAGGGAAAATTATTTCATTTTGCAATTCTACAGCAAAAGAACAACAATAACGTATCGCTTCCATTTTTAAATATATAAGGGGGTATTTTGATCCTGAAGTTTTCATTCAAATGACTGCTCAGATCTCAAATGTCTGCTTAAAAATGTCTGCCTTAGGTCATTACAAAAAATGACAGACTGTGATAAACTGGATGATAGTTAGCAGCAAGACAATGAGGCATTGTTTACACAGAAGACTGAGTAACTGGTTTAACAAAAGAGGTTCTTGGGTATCTATTGTACGTACAACTATGAGATTTACTGGAGCTTTTATAATTTCTGCGAAGCTCTTTTCCAGCCAGCTTCATTAACTTGAAGTAAATCAAATAAATCATGCAGAAATCTGGCTCAGCCAGAAAGAAACCCAAGAAGATACAATATGAAGAAAAACAGACACAAGATGATAAGGTTTAGAATCTTTGGCATTTTTCATAAACATTTTCTTTGAAGATAATTAAATTACAACCCAGAGACAAAAAGAGACATAGTAAACTATTAAATAGGTCTTTTTTTAACCTTTTCTTTACAATACATATACATATATAAAACTGCACATACAAAGTATGTGTCAATGAAATTCAGTCTGTAAATATTATTTGAACAGAAAGATTTGTATATTTTTTATATAGGCACAAATCAATATTTTCATGGAATTGGGTGTACAGATGTGTGGTATTTCTCTAAGAATTCGGTCCTAAAATAGTTTTTTTATTGTATGTAGCTAATTTTGAGCCTGGAGATAAGTACTTTGGCTATCCAAATTTGTATTTTAATTTTCTGCTCAAAATATTTGGGCAAATGAAATTATTATGATATTTAGGCGAGTAGCCCCATTTTTAATTTCTTATACTTTTAACTATACGTAATGAATTCATTCTTCCCCCAACATGCTTTCTGAAGCAATTTACTGACCTTTTAGAAATAAAGAATAAAGTCAGCAGAAATGATATTTTTAAACCCACTGATTTTTTTTGTGAAGCCACCACTCTTTCAAAGAGGGACCCCTTGGGATTTCCGTTGCCAGCAATGGACCATGATATAGGTTGCACCCAGCACCAAAACATCACTACAAAGTCACATACATTTCTTTTGTGATCACAGCTGAAAAACTTCTGGAAGATTTGGGTCAATTCTGAGAATCATTAAAAGGTCTTTCTAGAATATGCATTCTCTCTACAGCCTATAGCTACCAGAGACTTGTTAATTCCGAAGAAACTTACTGGGACAATAATCTGAGAGGAGTGTGCGGGTGGAGAATGGAAATGGCTGCATCTTAGTTAGAATCTGTAGGAGGTGTGAAAACAAGTTCAAAGTCACTCTCAAATCCACGAGGTCTCCCGGCGGTGCTTAGGGAAGACATCCAGATCCCATGGACGCCTTGCTTTGTTTCCTATTTGTGGATAGATGGGAGTCGTTCACAGCTTCAGGTTTGGTTCCTTTTGCTGGGCTGACCATCTAGGTGAGGAGGAAACCTGGGTGGGGATAGGTGTGTGCAGCTGTTTGTGCATCTGTGCCCAGGAAGAAGTGGGGGAGAATACAGAGCGGGCTCCGCGCAGCTAAGACCTTGGTCCACTCCCCCACAGGATACGGGTAGCTGGCGCAGGAAGTCAGTGCGGACCTAGAGTGGTGCGCTTCTTCCGAAGGGGACTGTGGCTGCTGCCGAGTTTCAGTTCTGCGTACTGCACCTGTGAAAACAAACAGAGGGGATGCTGGCAGCTCGGTAACCCTACCTCGCCGCAGTGTGTGTTAATGGCTCCCCAAGGACAAACCGAGGCAAGGGAAGGAAGGTTCAAAAGTAATGAATCATTTTCTAAACACAGGAAAATGGAGGGATTAATTGCAGGAAGGATTTGAGAAGTCATGCATCATTTCTTGAAACCAAAATATTAAAAGCAGATTTTTCTAATGAGATGCATAGGTTTCTACCTGCTCCCAGCACTGCCAGTTGGTCTTAGTTTTGCATGTGCCCATTTTCCACCAAAAGGAAGCTTAATAAGTGTCTCTTGAGAATGTTTATCTAAGTGTGTAAGATAGCAACTTACTGAGAGTTGTCCATCTTAACATATCTAAAATCTTAGGGAAAAAAAAAAACTCAGCCAATTAGAGACATTTATTTTGCCTAAGAGGAAAAAGAAATCTCTGACAGTGGTACGGGGCCCCAGACTTAGATAGAGTCTTCTTAAACATTAATTTCTTTTACGATGTAATGACTAAAACATCTGGGATAAATGTGAGCACTCGGGGAGTCCCTCGTGGTACACTGTCATTGTGCTATTAGAAAGCACCTTGGCAGACAGGAGGATCTTACTAGCAAAATGCAGATCTTCCTCAAACGCTCTTTTGTTCTATTTCTCTGTATTTGTGCCAACTCCAACTGGTTGACCACTCTGAGGGCTGGTGGCTGGACTGCACAGACAGTCCTTGCGGGGATGTGATTGGAAATTTCTGTTCTTCAAGGATACAGCATGAACTCACTCTGTGACCCAAGGGATGGTACATGGCAGACATACTGCTTTGCTGTGTGTGCTTTGAGAGGCTGGCGTTGGAAGGCCTTCGCTTAAGATATTGTATTATGGACCACATGGGCTCACTATTTTTAGCACCTGTGCCCCATCCCCGAGGACATTCTGCCCAATCTCAGGTTGTTAGTCTGCACTTTGCCAAAAGCACATAAATGAAAAGACAAAAAAGACTCTCTTGAGTGTTTTGTGAACGGCCCCTGGGGGGAGAGGAAACAACATACTTGCTATTCTTTAGTTCGAACAGAGGAGCCAGGTTATATTTTAATTACATAATGCAAATATTAAGGTGTAAATTCCTCTTTTGGGAATGTACTTTAACCGTTAATATCATAAAATGAAGGTTAAAGAAAAACAGCACCCTAAGATTCAGTTTAGTCTCTGGAACTTGGGGTGAAGGAAAAGGAAGTCGAAGACCCTGGAGTCCCATGCCTTTGCAATTCACCTAGAGAGGCCAGGGAACCAATTGTGTTGTAGTGGCCCAATGATGAAAATCGATACTTGCTTTGGGAGTCTTGCAGGTAATAAAGGATTATGGCTTTGCTCATCTTGATATTTCATGCCATGGTCTCCCCATCTACCTATTCAGTAATCACCATTCTCTATCAGAAGTTACTGCCTGCCCTCCTTCCTCTGGATTTATAGCAGCCTACGCTGCAGGGCCCAAAATTAGGCTATTCTTTGGGACTCTCTGCTATTGTTGGCTTCATTAATCTCTGTGTAGCCACCGAAACAAGACTCTGCTGGACTAAGTGACCATTACCTGTGAAAAATACTTGTGATTGATCTCAAATTATTTCACGCCATCTCTTCCTCTACGTGTATTAGAGTAAGTGAGGGATTTGGCCTCAGCATCCCTAAGTCTTTAGAGGAAAGGGAGCAGAAGAGAGGCCCAGGAGATAATTGGGGCAAATAAGTATAAAAAGAATAATCCTCTTGTCCCCCACTTCCCCTAAAATGTCTGCCATCCGGAAGAGGAGGAAAATAAGCATCAGTTCTTAGCTTTGGATCTCAAGCAGTTCTACTCACTGAGCCCAACTTATCCTCCTTAGGAAAGCAAGCAATCAAAAAGGGACAAACAGTAGCACACTGGAGCCACACAGTGTGAGTTCCAAATCATTCTTAAGTAGCTCTTTTTCAGGATAATTTTCCCCAATCATCCCACGCTTGTGACAAAGGTTTTTGCCACCTCCCTGCAAGCCAGGCCTCTTTAGGGATTTTCTGATTCCTTATCTCAATTACTCACACAAGTACAGCCTTGTGCTCCTCCAGCTGTAGGGCTGCCCAGACCTCAGGGCTGGAGCCCCTGTTGGTGGTGACCATTCATTACCTACCTTTTGAACATCCGAGGGTACCCTGGAGAGGAAGTCTAGTAGCTCATTATTGTCGATGGAATAGGGATTTCGGAGCTTCTTAGTAAATTTATTTATGCCTGCAAAATAGAAACACCAGAGACCACTTTATATCCATCTATCTACCTATCTAAAAACTTGCCTGACTTGGGGAGGGGGAGTTTTCACAAGTAAAAATTAGTGTGAAAACAATTACTAGACTTCAAGTCATGCACATGTTGCTGTCATGTGGAATCATTCACAAATGCCTCTTCCTGAAGGAAGGAGGGTGAGCTGTGGAAAAGGGGCTCTGCCTTCCTCAGCTGTGAAAATCCCATTACAATCCCAGCAGCAGGGCAGCAGAAACACACGCTCAAACTGGGGAGATCATTGACTTTTTTGGAATACACTGATTAACAACCTCCTCTGCTATGAAAACAAATGTCCCAGATGGGAAAAGGCCTTCATTAGCTCAAACAAGTCCCTGCTTGGAGACTTTCGACCCAGTGTAGCTGTGGGAGATGGTTGGTGGGGTGGGGTTGGGTTTTCTATTGGTAGAAACTACAGATCTCTCTTCCCCCACCTCCAACTCATTTTCACAGGATCCTCATCTCTCCCTGCAGAACAGAACTTGACATGTTGATTTTGCTTTGATGCCGCAGGAAACTGTGAGAAGTTATTATTGGAAAATTATATATGGACCACAACACCGACATGCGGGTTTGTCTGGGCAAGGGAGTTCATGCTAATTTAAGATCGGGACGGTAGTAATTAGAACAGGACTCAACATTTAAGATGTCCATACGCTGCAGATATCCACCTGTGGTTGCTTCACATTGGGTTCCTGGGTTGGCCCTGAATGTACTTGCCCATGGCAGGTGTTCAGAGGAGAGCTCCTCCCTAACCTTTTGTCTTCTCCCCTCCTTGGGGTGACTTCGCCTGTATCCAGAGCTTATAAGCAGTAGTCTTTTCACCAAATATCAACCCTTTTTTCACGTCGAGTTTTAGAAGCAGAAAGAGTAGGTGGCCTTCTGAAGTTTTGCCACAGGGTGCTTGTTTAACAAGGATTGTATCTGAAGGCTTGTCGGTCCCAATGAGGCTGAATGAATTCTCAGCTTAGTTGTGCTCTGAATGGTTCCTACTCAGAAGCCAAGTTCAACAGTCCCCAACACAGAAAAGGTTTGATGTTTTTCTTTGTTCGTTAAATATTACTTTGCTTTCATCTAAGGACTAGACTTCCTGCATGGCATTGTACCGGACACAATGCCAACCTCCAGTCCTTTCTTTGGGGGGTCAGATTTACATCTGCTTTGCAAATGGGAGCCGGGCATTGTTCATGAGTAAATGGGGGCTTGGTGGTCAGACTGGGGAAGGATCCCAGCAAATGTTCCCTTTTGCCATAAGTCAAAGCTGCACTTTGCCTTTCTTCCTTCTACCCCCACAGCAAGCTCCATGTTTCTGAAATTCCCCCCAGAATTCCTTTAAACTGAAATACTCACTGTGTTATTCTAAAGACATTTAATTGTAGCATGGGCTTTTTGGCAAAAGAAAACAGACAAGGCAAAATGATGAAGGGAGACAAAGACGTATTGAGAAAAGATATATCTTCTTTTGTTAATTATATATAGTGTGCGCATCTGGAGCCTTTACAATGAACAGCAAGGCAGGGATAATATCACAGCCGATCAAAACACTGCATTCTTAGTCACTGAGAAGATTATAAACCTGCACAGTAGCTTAAATGCACCAATAAAAGCAGAAGTAGTCCACAATGCACTGAGACTATGTTTGAAAAAGTTAAAATAAAAATTACTAAGCATTCAGGATCGCATGCTTCAAAAGTACACCTTATTTGTTAAAGGCATCTCAGTTTTGAATATTATTTCAATAATTCCATTGTACTGTCTATTGTGAGATCAAAGGTCAACAGAAGATCACAGATGGCTTGGTCATCTTTCAGAGGCCATGGGGCGATGTAACACAGGTTATGGCGCAGAGATACCCGGGCCCAAGTGCCAGCTTTATAAGGTATTGCCTGTGTGATATCAGGCAAAGCAGTTCACCTTCCTATGGCTCAATTTCTTACAATGAAATTTTAATAATAAAGACCTGCCCTGTATAGTTTCTAGGGTTAATAGGAGAATCACAATGAATACTTTAGGCAAAAGGGTTCTGTTATCCCAGAGTCAAGTAGGGGCCTGCAACCATCAGTGCCATGGAGGACAGTAACTGGGAAAGACAAAGGACGTGCAGATGAAAAACAATCTTTTGAGCATTATGCATGTGACCATATGCCCAAATTGGAAGTTGTGAAAAAAACAATACGGGGCTGGGGATTTAGCTCAGTGGTTCGTCTCCTGCCTCGCAAGCGCAAGGACCCGAGTTCGATCCCCAGCACCAAAAGAAAAAATAACAAAAAACAAATTGGAAGTTGTGGTTTTATCCAGTTAGAAGCAAATTTTTTTCTTAAATGGAACAAGATAGACAGAGGGGTATATCTGCCATAAATTTCATTAGCCGAGGGGACTGACCAAATGAGAGCTAAATCAAGGGGCAATATTTGAGATTTCAAATTAAATGGACCCTGGCCACGGATCGACTGGATCAGTGGAGTGGCAATGAGCCTTCCACTAGAAAAAAAAAATCACATGAAAGAAGAGATGGGAAACTGCATAACCACTTGAAACAAAATAGCACCATTTTTTAGATATTTGTCACAAGCAGGCACTCCTCGTGCAACACTGCGGCCAGGCTGAGGCTGAGAACACTTCCTTGTTCATTTGTCAAGCCTTGGGAACCTTCCCTGTGAGATACACAGTGCTATCGTATTGGAGATACAAAGTTAAATAGGTCCTGACTCCTTCTTGCAAAACACTCACTATTTAATTTGCTTGGAAAATTCATATATACCTTGTAAAAAGTGAGGCTGGGACTGGAGCTGGGAAATGGTATGATGAAGAACAGAACAGAAGGAATATGGGGAAATTCACAACAGAAATGCAAAGCATCCATGAGGTCATATCTTAAATGCTCACACCAAATGGGTGGTTAAATTCCAGGAGATGGTATACCCCGAAGAAAACTTCAGATGTCCCTCCCCTCACAAGAGAAGTAGCCCCCAAATTTCATCTACATGGATTCTGGGTACTGAATTCAAGCCTCATTCATAGAATAGCTTTCAACTGCTAATTAAAGATCTCTTTATGAAGCTGCATAGGGATTGTGGGAAGAAACAAAGCATCTCCTCAAATCCTTACAATAAATAGGGTGAGTCCTGGAATATTTCCCACAGCCATTACAAAATCAGGCAGTGTGCTTATGTCCCATAATTTTAACATTTAAAATGCTTATACAGGCAGGTGTGGTGGCACATGCCTATAATCCCAGCACTTGGGAGGCTGAGGCAGGAGAATCACTCTGAGTTCAAGACCAGCCTGGGCTACATAGTGTGTTCCAGGTCAGTCTCAACTACACAGTGAGACCCTGTCTCAAAAAACCAAAAAAAAAATTCTTATACAAAATATTATTTGTATATATACAATATAGAGATCTACTATATACAGTAGTGTTTTTAGTCCTGTAGAAAAAAATTTAAATGTCTTTGATTTCTCATTTGTAGGACTAGGTAAAAAATGAGTAACTGAGTAAGAAGTCTTTTGAAATTTAAAGTTAAAAGGAACACTAGAAGTTGAAGATATAAATTTATATTTTTATGTGGGGAAGTTTTTTGCAGGGGATACAAGCATATAAAACATGTAAAAGAATGGACTAGACCTATAATGGCTAATAACCTGTTGAAAAGAGTAAGTCATGATAGAGTTATGGAATATTTTCCTGGCTTGAACAGCAGGTTTTGCATGATGAGAAGTAGCAATAGATCATATGTTGTTTGTCAAGACTGCTGAGGACATTATTTCCAGTAAACTCATCAATAAGCTATAAACACCTCTCTAGAATGCAGAACCGAAGTGTAAAGAGTTACTGTCTGCCCGTGAAAGCATGATAAACTCCATGCTGCTTAATAACTTCATCCATAAACCTAAAAATGGTGAAATGTTTCAATGAGTAGTTGCCAAAAGTTGCTGGAAAGCTGCCCATATCTTAGAGGATAAGATGAGAATTCAGAGGTGATTTGGGTAAACAAAACAGGTTTTGCATTCCAAAATTAACCAAGGAAGAAATATGGAACGGTGGACCATCTATACCAGTGGGTACCACAATCAAAGACATTTGGAAATAAATACGGAACACAGACTTTTTTTCTTGTCATTTCTGAAACACTACAGTGTAACAGCTTTTCAGACTACTTATAAGACTGTGAGGTAAACGCAATCTTGGGATGATTTAAAATACAGGGGTACTTGTGCATAGGTAATGTACAGATACTGTGCTATTGTCTATGAATCTTGAGCATCCTCAGAGTATCCTGGACCCCGAGGAAACTGAGAGACAACTGTGTTAGCCTTCCTTGTCGTGGGAAGGATACAAGGAACAAATCAAGTGTGCACCAGAGCTTAAAGTCTGACCACAGCATCACAAACTTAAAAAATGAACAAAACATAAGCGAAAGGATCTGAATTCATATCTGGTTAGTGGCAGACAGCAGATTTAACATCTGAGTTCTAAATGAACACTAATTGGATTTAGAAACTAAAACTTATACAACAATTGGAAAAAATGATTATCCAATCTATACAGAAAACATGCAGGATATAAAGGTTTTCAAAGAAATACTTCTGAAAAATCCACCTTCTCAATCAGTGTGCCCTTATGAGGGCCCATTTTCTTCCTAAGGCCCAAAGTACAAGCATTGTTGCAAACTAAACAAACCACACCAACAGTTCTAAGCATGGCTATGAGATGACTTCAACCAAATATCAAATCAGACCCCTTTGATGAGTTTAGAATGTTTTTTTTTTAATTTTCCTGGATATGCTACAAAGGAGAAAGACTTAAGATTTTCACTTCCTAAATATCACAGAGAATGACTGAATTATACTTTTTAAAAATCTTCCAGTTTTTGTATTTTTATGAGTCATTCTAATTCTCTCATGGCTCTTTCCATTCCTGGGTGCCCATTTTTAGCTTCCCTTATTAGAGGGCTTCTGTCCTTGTGGTTCCTCTTAATGATTCTAGAAAGATTGTAGATTTTATCAAGCATCTAGGGCCTCTCCACTACACATTAAATATACATGCAGTGCAGCCTCTCATCTTCATGAGTTCCCTGAACATTTTGAAGAACCTTAAAAGCAATGGCGGAGGGAGAATTTAGCAGTCCTAGGACAAAGTCTGCCGTGTATCCAACGTGAAATTTCTGCAGTGCACTCTCCTTGTATCAACATAGAGCCCACCCAGAAACAGACACAAATATTCACAAGGCTGCTTATATTTTGCCCAATTCCTACCTTAAGTAGTAAATCAAGTCATTAAATTTATTTCACGTTTGCCCTTTTTGTTTGTCCTTTTTTTAATAGCAGCTAAACTTAATACAGGTACCCCATTTCCTCCAGTAAATAACAGCTTCCTCTTCTCTAGAGCCTTGGGCAGGTAGTCACAGGCTGCACTCCAGCCCATCTTGCCCACTCCCTACTGTTTCTGGATTTAAGGATGAAATTAAGTTACTTTTTCCTGCAGGAAAGATGAGGTGTCAGGAGCAACCCGGTAGTGGCCAGATCTTTTACATTTTATAAAGGGCAAAATGCAGGTGTTTCACTCAATGTTTGAACTTGTTTTTTTGTGGAAAAAAATCACAGGGCCACAGCCATATATTATTGAAGGAAATTTATAGCTGGGAAAGTCGAGAGAAAAATGGCATGCACAATCACATTTTCATTTGATCACAATTAAGTAAGAAACCTATAAATATCTAGGCCGACTGTTCAAGCAATGGGCCATACCAGGGAGGTCCTGGAAGTTTCCGTTCCCCCAAATACTTTCCTTAATCTCATGTTTAATTGCCAACAAGAGCATGGTGAAAGTTTATAGTCGCACTTTAAAAATAACTAATTGGTTCTTACCTGGAATTGATAGCCAGCAAAAGGGCCATGTAAAACTTACCCCAGATTAAAATGATGTACCGCAGTGGAATCAAGTACAAAACGATGGTGGCCATGACCAGCACCAAACAGGCCAGCATGGAGAGGAAAGGGACCGTCCAGTTAAAGGTGCTGTGGACAAAGACAGAACTGTCATCTCCCCCGGGCTCAGCCACCTCCACAGCGTCGTCACCTCTAGGCTATTTCAGGTTCATGGTTATATTAATAAAGAATATCTACCAAAAAGTTTCTTTGCACACCTGGTGCTAATGTACATTGTATTTATGCATCGAAATATCACACCGTCAGTGGTAAATATACATATATCATTCCGTGTCACTTACATAAAACTGGAGGAGAAAAGTCTGCTAAGTAGATTGAGTACTTGAAAACACAAAGGAGGACACTGTCACAAGAGCACGGTTGGAGTCATTGTCTCTTTTCACTTGTGTGAAAATGGAGACTAGAATACGGGATATGGGATTGAATGTACTATACAGAGTCCTGTGTAGTCGGAAAGATTCTGGGTCCTCCTGGGAATTCATGGGCGCTGGAGTACTTCTTACTGGTCTTCACTGTCAAATACAGACTTGCCTGTTGATCATTTGCTTTATGCTATGAATACAAAGGTATTTCTTTTTCTAGTTTTCTTTGGTGGGGATAGACACTGAGTAATTTTGGGAAGTAGCATGTTATAAATAGGCATTTAATGTATGGGACGTTGTGGGTTTTCTTTTTCATACATTTATATTGAAATGCTATAAATTCTGCCAAGTAAACATTCTCCCATTTATGGATGAGAAAAATGAGGCTGAGAGAAATCTGTCCTGTGTAAATAATTAAAAGCCTGTTAACAGTACAGAATTCCAGTTTTAAGACTATTATTATTTATCTGTATTAAATTTCTCTTCGAATTATAAGCAAATTGGAACACCTTTAACTTGACTGGTCATTTTAGCTGGAAGTTAAGGAGAAGTTATTTCCTTGTCTAGAAGTTTTAGTGTTTAGGATAGTGCTCAGGAAAATTAATTTGTAAGCCAACTGACGTGGGTTCCAGTCCAGGATCTATTTCTAATAAGCTGAGTGACTCTGGAAAATTGACTCATTCAACTGAGATACAATTTCCTGTCTGCAAAATGGAAATAATAATACATCGATCACAGACTTTGCTGGAATTAAACAGGAACTAGCCTTTCAGTAGTTAGCTCAGTATATAGCACACTGTAAACCAACCCCCCCCATAATAAAGGAAAGCAATTAATTACTATTTGTGATTTTCCCTGGTGCTGTTTTGCTTGAACTTGTCCCCTGTGTTTTCAAATGACTCTTTGGAGAGTAAAGAAATCAGTTCCCTGGCAAGTTTATTATAAGCATTTTTCCAGTTAGTTGCTGTTATGGTTTGGATCTAGTTTGTCCACTCAAGGCCTCATGTGCTCAGAGTCTAGACTTTTAAAAAGTGGCTGGGTCACACAGGCTCTGTAGCTGACTTGCTATTTAGGAGGTGGGGCATGGCTGGAAGAGGCACGTCACTGGGGAGTCCCTGCAGACTCCCTTCTCGCTCTGCCTCCTCATTGCAATGCTGTGAGCAGCTTCCCTGAATTTAGGTCCTTTCACCAGACCATTTCTGCCTTTGAGCCAGCCAAACATAGCTTGTAAACAGGGGCCCAAACAGACCTCTCTTTCTTTAAATCTTAAGTGTCAGGCAGGCATTGTGTCTCAGCAAGGAAAAAGTGCCTAGACAGCTCCATTATTCTTGCTGTTTTACATTACTACATTTATCACAGTTTCTCCTGTCCACTTCTAGGTTTTGCTGTATTCACAAAGATCTCTCTGAGTTCAGTAACATGTCCTTGCCAATTCAATTTCCTCACTCTTTTAAATATTTTAGAAGGCACTGGAAAGAACATAAAGATGGAAGATATCTGAGAGGTTAAGACGCACTGGACACCGATGAAGAGAGCTCTTGCATTGCATACATGTACATACGTAGGACTAGTCCTGACTTTTCTTTTCCAGAGTGGAACTTGCAGCAGAACTTTCTGTGGGGCAAACTCACAATAGCTGCTGAAGTGTCGTTAGGATTCCAAAATTGCCCCAGCTAAGTGTGACAAGAAACAGAGTGCAGTCCGCTTTGCCTCAGGACACACAGAATGTCTGCTCCTCTATGGCTGGTAAGACTTATAACAGGAAATCAGTGCAGTGTCATTAATAGGGAATCTGCTAAATAAAACAGCTAGAAAAATGTGTAAAGGAATGGTGTGATTTACATTTACTCTGCAACACTATACAGTTTTTAAAAACCATGAGAATATAAAAATACCCAATTAACCTCCAACCCCACAATGGAGGCTCAGAACTAGGAACAGTAAAAGAAAATTAAGTGTCAGAAAGGAATTGAATAAACAATTACTAAATGACTGTCTTAGTTACTTTCGCAATGCTGGGACAAAATACCTGAAACCTATAAGGTAAAGGAGGAAAGGTTTATTTCAGCTCAGAGTTTGTAGCGGTTTCAGTCTGTGGTTGGCTGGCTCCAAAGCAGGGAGGCACAGCAGAGAAAGGCTGCTCACGGCGTGGCAGGCAGCAGGCCTCCTTTCCCCATTTATCCCTCCAGACTACAAGGTGTTGGTTGTGCTACCCACATCCAGAAGTGTGATAAACCAACCAGTGAGCTAATGTAGTTATCACACCCTCTATCCATATTCACACATCCTACATTCAGTGACCTCGAAAAGCCCGGTGTATGACTGCATGAGGCTTTCTTCGGGCATCTAGATACAAGCCATAATGACTTCTCATTTTAAAACCCCTCTGCATATTGAATGAAACACTGGAAGGATGTACCTCAGTTAATGGTAGCTAAATACAATGGGGGTAGAGGGAGAAAAAAACAGGCATAAACCACAGTGGGACGCTTGATTCATTATTTTTGACTATCTCTATAAAGAATGTATGTCAGATATAATAAAACTAAAATAGGTTTAAAATTTTGAACATTGTACTTTTTACATATTTTAACACTGGAAACATAATGAGTCGGAGATCCTGGATGCAAATCCATAGTGAGAACCACTAAAACCACTCTTTTCTCACCTTGGCAGATTACTGACCTAGTAGCTTTCAATTTAAAAACACTGCTCCAATATTCATTAATCTTAAGCATAACCATAAGCAATGTGTTCAGTTTCTCTGTGCTTTATACTTCCAAGCTGTGGAATGGGAATAAGAATTATACCTACCTTATTGAGATACTGAGGGGTTTCAGTAAGTTAATAATTATAAAACATTTAAAACAATGTGGAATATAGTAATTATTCAGTAAGTATTGGCTGCCCTCATTTTTTTGCACTGTTATTTTCGAAGATGCCATGAATATGAAAAGAGCAAATTATATCTGGTAGCATTTGGAAGATAATAAAAGCTACAAACATGCCTGAAATTATATTTTAGAAATAAATACACATTATAATTCCCTTTCTAGCAATACTACTATACTTTCTTTAAAAACTAAAATGCTAAGCCAGATGCACTACTACACACCTGCAATCTGCAATATTTGGGAAGTTGAGGCAGTTAGATTGCAAGTTTGAGTCCAGGCTAGACAACTTAGACCCTCAAGATGAAATTTTTCCAAGGGTTGTGAACATAACTCAGTGGGCAAGGGCTTGACTAGGATGCAGAAGGCCCTGGGTTTAATCCAGTGACACAAAAACAAATCAAAAGTAGATCTAGATAAAACTTAAAGCCCATTTTAAAGAAAGAAAAAGAAGTCATCAATAGGCTAACATAAAAAGAAAATGAACTGCAAAACTCTGCTCTGAGGTAACTAATAGTCAAAGTCAATTTTCACTGAAAGTTCTTACTTAACATTGGGATTTTTTAGCTTTTTTCTGTTACTTGCATGAAGGTCTAAGGAAAAAGTGCAAAACTGCTCCAGGAGAAAGTCTAATAGGAAATCATTGCATAAAGTTTACATATTTGGGCTGTGTGTGTGTGCGCGCGTGAGAGAGAGAGAGAGAGAGAGAGAAGAAATTATAGATATAACTAGGCATAAAGGACCATACCTGTCATGATAACGCCAGACAGACTTACCACTGGAGGTTATGGTCCCTGTAGATAGAAAAGCTTCAAGTAAAATACAGAAGAAGGAAAGAAAAAGGACTCCAAGTTGGCCATAGCCCAAGTGACCGAGGCAATGATCCTCACTAACAATACAGAACCAGATGTATCTGTAAGTCCTTACATAATGATTCAAGGAATATCAGTTCTGAGTTACAAACACAAACCACCAAGGATGACTGGTGCTACGAGTAAGAGCCAGCAGCCAAAAACCTGAGTCAGACTGCAGATTTTAAATCTAATCCAATAGGTTAAATAATAATGTTTAATATAATAAAGTTAGTAGAGTGAAAAGTAAAATATATGACCATGAAAAAGATAGAAATATTCAAGATTTAAAAACAAGAACAACTTTAAAAATGAAAACTATAGTTGAAGTTAGAAATGCAATGAATGAATTAGGCAACTTTAAACAGCATAGGAATGAACACTGTGCAAGATCATCCAGAGAAAAATACTAGAAGATGTCACATCAGAAAAGTGAATAAAGCCAGTGATTTAGCTCAGTGGTTCCGCCGCTTGCCTCACAAACTCAAGGACCTGAGTTCAATCCCTGGTACCAAAAAGAAAAGTGAATAAAGATGGAAGTTAACTGAGACATGAGATGGAAGGTAAGTCACATGGGACATAGATGAAAAACTGAGAAGGTCCCTGCATTAACTGAGAGGACAATTCATGTTAGATTACGGTAAATCGTGATGTTAACTCTAGGATGACAACGAACAGAGTAGCAAATGAGTTTTAATTCCTAGAAAACAGAAGAAAATATAAAAATAAAACACCAGGGACAAAAGACTTAGAAATTAGTTATAAATCATTACTAAGCATATTAAATTTGAATAGACCACATGCTACAATAGAAAGATGATGGCTGTGAGAAATAAGAAAGATACCTGAAAAAGGAGAAAAGGAGAAAGAAAAATACAAAAAAGGCACATCAGGAAAAAACTAACAAAGAAGTAGTGCAGCTCTACTAATGCTAGCCAATAAGACAGGCAAAATTTTATTAGCAG